TGTGCCATCTGTGGCTCCCAAGTGCTTGTTCCCTCACCTCCTATAACTGAAAAACTGTGCTGGCTGCGTGGCTGAACAGGGATATGTTCTTAAACTGGCATTTGGTCTGAAACATTCTTTAGGGAGCCAGTGATTTTAAATGTTCTTGCTTGGTTCTGGGACTCCACATTCTGTAGAAAGAGCCAAGGAGTGTGACAGTTCAACAGACACGTATTAGTGTATATTATGCGCCAACAAATCGACTTATTGGAATAGCCTGTTAACTCACTTCGGTTATATCGGACAGCTTTGGGAATGCGAGGGATTTTAGTTAGGTCTACTCCTTATCACGTAACCTCAGAGACAAATGTTACTTATTTCTTTATTTTCTCCACTAGTTGAGTCAAGTTCACTTTTCTGAGTGAGATTTAATGTGGCTGTTGAACTTGCCATGTATCCTTTTAGGCATTGACCAGTGTATTCATTATGATTTAATATTCTCTTTAAGACATATACTTACCTCTCAGAGGCTTGCTGTGCCAGTTCTATTTATGGCAAGGCAGGAAGGAATTTCTGAATACCGGGTGGTATTGTGGTCTAGAAAAAAATACTGTGAAAAGATTTTTGAGAGTCCAAATGCTTTGATGCTTGGAAACAACTGCTGGATTTGTCCGTAGCCCCTTGGTTTCAGTTCAGCAAACTGTACTGAGTGTATAGCATGTGCAAGCTCTATGTGAGTCATCACTCTCAAGAAGCCAAGGGCCTGCCTGTATGGAGACAGAAAGATGGTATAATGGAACCCACATATGCACTGAAAGACTTAGGCACGGGGCACAGATACTTTATACAAGATTATTGTGATTCAGAGAGTTGGGTTTTGTAGAGGAGATTTAGACTGAGGATAGTTCGGATAGATACTAATGGGCTTTAAAACATGAGTTTTTATTGTTTGAGGGTATCCCAGGGAATGTTACTGAGGTGTTTGGTGGCCTCTAGCATATAGCTAGGTGTCGCTGGAATATATATTGTGATGGGAACATCGGAGGGAGATAAAGGAGAAAGGGTTGCAGGGCCTGTGTTTGGAAGGGTTGAAGGGTCTGGCATGCTGTACTTTGGAGCTCGGAAGTCTTTTTTTTTTTTTCCAGTTCTTGGCCAGGGCTGGGTTTAAACCCACCACCTCCGGTATATGGGGCCAGCGCCCCACTCCCGAGCCACAGGTGCCGCCCTGGAGCTCGAAATTCTTTTTGATACCTAGTAATGAGCTTCAGGTAATTGAAAAGATCTAAGCCAGGAGAGTAAAAGGGGCATCTGCCTTTAATCAATCTGGAGTTTGGATTGGAGAGAGTAAAATTGAGTGTGTGAATACTAGTTAGGAAAGTGTACGGGAATCTGGGATGAGTTTTAATTCAGTGAATTTGTTTAACTGAACTGTGATGATGAGATAATAAACAAAATCATGACAGGGAAGAAAGAAAAGAGGAAATATCAGAGGTGGACTGTGTACTCGAGAGGACCTAGAGATTGTTTGTATAAGGCTGAGGGAGAGAGAGTAATCTGGGTTTTGGCCTTGGGTTGCTAACACAGTCACCACAAAGGAGGGTGAAGAAGTAAGTATTCCAGGTGTTGGCAGAGATGAATTCAGTTTTGAACATGTTAAGACTGAGACACTGTGATGTGACTAGGTGTGGAAGTAGCCAGTAGGCAATTGGGTATAAAGATAGGAGTTCAGCAGAGAGGTGAAGAGAGAGGCTGTAGGTTTAGGAACCACCAGCATGTAAGTGGTGTTGACAAAGAGACCATAGAGAGTGAGAAGGAAGAGAGCCAATGGTAGGACTCAGGGACACACACCAGTAGTTGAAGAAATGGGTAAAGAACTTGGTTAGAAATAAGAGACAAGGCTCAGCATCTGTGGCTTAAGTGGCTAAGGCGCCAGTCACATACACCTAAGGTTGTTGGTTCAAATCCAGCCCGGGCCTGCCAAACAACAATGATGGCTGCACCCAAAAAATAGCCGGGCATTGTGGCGGGCGCCTGCGGTCCCAACTACTTGGGAGGCAGAGGCAGGAGACTCGCTTGAGCCCAGGAGTTAGAGATTGCTGTGAGCTGTGATGCCATGGCACTCTACCCAGGGGGACAGCTTGAGGCTCTGTCTAAAAAAAAAAAGAAATAAGAGACAAGAACTGAGGACTGATGGAATTTCATGAAGGAATAGGTGTCAGTAGTGTCCACAACCAGAAGTCACATACAATATTTATTGACTCTGGAAATTTGGAGGTCCCTTATCTATAGCAGTTTGGGATAAAGAACATACACATTGGAACATACACTTTGAATCTTGCCTTTACCTCTTATTTATTCTGTGACTTGGGTAAGCATTTTATGTTTGGCTCATTGTCTGTAAAGCGGTGGTCAGCCTCTTCAGTGGGTTTGGGTCTGTGGTGCCCATCAGGAAGATCAAGAACAAGGCCAGATATTTATAGAGGGGGAGGGTACAGGTCTTCTGCCCCTGCTTCAAACAAAGCAGCTAGGGCAACTTGATTTTTACCTATTTTATGTATTTGACTTTAATATAAGATTTCATTGGAAGAAAACATAGTGCAGTATAAGAAATTTGAAAACTACTGGCCTCTAGGAGCCTTAAATACCTTCAGGCTTTGAAAACTTTTTTCTTAATTGCTGGTGTTGAAAGTTCCTATGCTAAATAAAGATCATAGCAGTTGTTAACTTGCTTATGGTTTAGATTTTATTCAGAGGTCAACACTAGTGTCTGCGTTTATGTTATAACATTTTATTCTCATAAATCGAATAAAAATGAGGATAAGAAGGACTGTATATTTTGTTAAAAAACTTTTTATGTGTCTTTCCAGGTTCTGACTCAGAAGATCTTTTGGAAGAATTGCTCTGCTGTTTGCTGCAGTTAATCACTGATATTCCACTCTTGTAAGTTCTGGCTAAGCCGGGGTTTATTTTATTTTCCTTGTACATTAAAGATAATAATTGATCATGTTGAAGAGTTTGTAGGTTCTGCTGTAGTACTTTTATGTGCATCTTTTAAGACTTGTGTGTGTATAAAATTGTTTTCTTTCTCTTCCCTAGTAATATTTAGACTCTGACTATCCATCACCAAAACAAAAACATTACGATATTAAGGGGAAAATAAACATTTTTTTTTTCTCAGTCTCCCAAGTAGCTGGGACTACAGGTGCCTGCTATAATGCCCGGCTGTTTTTTTTGGTTGTAGTTGTTGTTGTTGTTTTAGCTGTCTGGGGCCAGGGTCGAACCCACCGGCCTCAGTGTATATGGCTGACGCCCTACCCACTGAGCTATGGGCACCTCCTGGAAAATAAACTCTTAATTAAGCATACAGTAGGCATAGAATTGCATCAATTTGTGTAATAAGAGAACTTATAGATCTCTGAAACAGGAGTTTACAAAAGAAGCAATTTAAATTGAGTTTATATGTGGTAGACATATAAACTTTGGAGGATAAAGGCCCTTATGTCTACAACATATAAACATATAATTGATCACCAGTATTTGTTTTCCCTTTCTTTTTGATTTCCTTATTTTATTACTGTCCTCTTTTGGAGAAATTTCCATTTCCAGCCTTTCTTGAAGGAAGGTGTGGTCATTGAGATATAGGAGAAGGTCCTACATGAGATTTTTGGGAAAGGCTCTTCAAAGGGAACAGACTCAGCTAGGAGGCGTATCTTTTCATTCTTGACAGTCCCTTTTCCTGGAATGTGGACAGTCTTTTGAGTTGAGCATGTTCATCTTGGCACCAGGAACCAATGAGACTCACAGAAAATTCTGCTTTGACGTCATTGAGCTACTGAACCAAAGTCAACAGTACCCATCCCCCTTCCTCACCCGGACTGCTCATGTGACAAAAATAGATCCTTATTTGTTTACACTGCTGTAACCGGACTTCTATCACTGCAGCTCTTTGCAATTCTGTGTGATTTAGAATGTTTATCTCATTGGTTAGTTTTAATGAAATGATTCTCAACCTTTTTTTAAAAATTGTCTCCTTGAAAAGCCCTGTTCAACATTTCTTTCCAACTTGCCTCTCTCCTGTAATGAAATTTAAATGCCCCAGACACACTGAATATCTGTTGCTAACCCTTTGGAGGATAAAGGCCCTTATGTCTACAATTTTTTTTTTTTTTTTTTTTACCCCTGAAGAACTAGTTTTCACAGAATGTATATTTTAAAGGAATTATTTTTGAAAAACAGAAATAGAGTTTAATGTTTATCATTATAGAATCTCAGCCTACATGGGGATGTGGTTAGAAATGTGCTTTTTGCTTATGGCCCCAAAAGGAAAGACAGGTATTGGTGAGAAAATGGGCTCCTGACTTCTGTTGTACATGAGCACAGCATCCAGGATTTTAATGTAGATTTAGAAGTGAGAACCACCAATCCCTGTTATGACTTGGTGTGGTGGTGTGCAGCCTTGAAGGTAGGGCTGGGACAAGTGAGGAGTCAATCAGATAGGGAAGTGGACATCAGAAGGGGACAGTTTCCCATTCGAGCCGAAGTCTTGTGATGGACACAGCTCATCATCCTTTCTCCCCTTCTTTTCTAATGGAACTCCAGTATTGTTTGGGGGTGCACTATGTGCCCAGCTTGGTTTTCAGACACCTTGGCAGCTACATGGCCACATGACATAGTTTGGGTCAAGTATATGTAAGCAGAAGCCATGAACTTGCAGAGCATGCCTCCTTCAGTCTTTTGCTCATTGCTCTCTTCTTTCTGGAATGTGGGGACAGTGCTGGGCCATCTTGAAACTATCATGAGTGATACTTGTAAAGAAAAATGTCCCAGGAACCTGAGATATTGATGATATTGTGAAACTATTACACTCACCCTGCATCCCATATCTTTAGATTTCTTTTTTTACATGGGAAGAAGTAAACACTTATCTTGGTTAAGCCACTATAGTTAGGTTTTTTTTTAACATATGGTCAGAAGAGGGAGGGTGGGAGCATGTATAATGTGTATTGCTTAAAAGCATACTATATGTGAGGTGCTTCCTCTATGTTGCTGATTTAATTTTAGAAATAGCACCACCACTAATTATATTTTTTCATTACCAAATACCCACAATTTAGTATATGTATATTATAAATGAGTATGTTCTTTTTTTTTTTTTTTTGCCTTTTATTATTAATATGTTGTGGTGACATTAAGGGGGATGGAAATAGGAAGTAGGCCAAGAACACAAGGAATAGAGCAGCCATTTAAACACTCTTAAGGAGCAAGCAGATAGTGTAATATATCAAACATTTCAGTGTTTTAATGTGTTTATACCTTTTAAATTAACTGAAAATGCACAGCCAGCCAGATGTCTTGTATTATGTACACTCGGCTTTAACCAGCTGCTGAAACAATTTCTTATGATTTAATGTTCTTGGAACTCCATCCCACAAGAAGGTTTGTCTTGGTAACGGTTTCCACGTGAAAGCAAACTACTCTCTAAATGTTTCTTCTACTCTAACCATAGTGCATTGTAATAGATGAGCTTATAATGTAAGAAGGAATATGAATATATGAGAAGGGAGGGAGCACTATCAACATTTCACACCTAACATTGTTAATTTAGCCTTTGTTGAATTTGGGGGTGAATAACAAGAGGACTCTAATTTTAATGGCCTATGAGGGTAATTCAACACTAGCTTAAAGGTTTCTTATGAGACTTTGTTAAGTCATTAATATATTTTTCTTTCTTTTTTAAAACTTATTTTTATAGGTTTAGGGGGTACAAGTGCAGCTTTGTTATGTGGATATATTTCGCAGTGGTGAAGTCTGGGCTTTTAGTGTCCCCATCAAATAGTGTACATTGTGCCTAATGTGGAATTTTTTACCCCTCCCTCTCTTCCAGCCTCCCACCTTTTGGAGGCTCCAGTGTCTGTTACTCCATGCTGTATGCCCAGGCATACCCATTGTTTGGGGGTGCACTGTGTGCCCAGCTTGGTTTTCAGACACCTTGGCAGCTACATGGCCACATGACATAGTTTGGGTCAAGTATATGTAAGCAGAAGCCATGAACTTGCAGAGCATGCCTCCTTCAGTCTTTTGCTCATTGCTCTCTTCTTTCTGGAATGTGGGGACAGTGCTGGGACCATCTTGAAACTATTATGAGTGATACTTGTAGAGAAAATGTCCCCCTCACTCCTGCTCCAGCTTCTCTGCTGTCCTCCTTGCTCATGAGGAACGTGCCGGCCACCCTGTCTCTAGGGCCTTTGCCCTTCCTCCTCCTGCAGTCACTGTCTCCTGTCAGATGCTTGCTTGGCTCCATCCTGACACCCTCCACACTTTCTCTCCGAGGTCTGTTTCTTAGAAATGGCTACTCTACCTACCTTAAAATAGCTACCCTCTCATTCTTTGTCCTTTGATCATGCTTTTTTTTTTTTTGGTCTTAACTGCTTTTCACTACTCTTCATATTATTTGTTAGCTCTCTTGGTCATAGTTCTCCAATAAAATTAGAATGGCAGCTCCCTGTAAACAGGGTCTCTTCTTGTGCCAGCACTTGGTGTGCTCACTGCTGTATCTCTGGTATTCAGGTTAACCTGGCACATGGTAGAATCTCAGAAAAAAATTTCCCTACTGAGTAAATTAGTAGACGTATACTCTGTTTAGTGTATTTATTGTATTTTTTTGAGACAGAGTCTTACTCTGTCACCTTGGATAGAGACACCTTAGAGTCACAGGTCACAGCAACCTCAAACTCTTGGGCTCAAGTGATCCTCTTGCCAGCCTCCCAAGTAGCTAGAACTACAGGCACCTGCCACAAGGCCCAGTTATTTAGAGACAGCTCGTGAGCTCAAGCAATGTTCAGTGTGTTTGAAGCATTTTGTTTCTCAACATCTAGTCTGTACAGAAACAAGATTGTGCTAAGGCAGCTTCCATTGCAAATGTAGTGGCTCAGAGCTCTTTGTGGTTGGCACATTATAACAACTGGGTGTTTACTGACATTGGTATTAGAAAGAGGCTCCTAGAAGCTGAAATGCAGAGAAATAATACCTGACAACTTTTCTTTTCTTTCTTTTTTTTTTTTTAAGAGACAGGATCTCACGCTGTCACTGGAATGCAATGGCACGATTATGGCTCACTGTAACCTCTAATTCCTGGGCTCAAATGATCTTCCCATCTCAGCCTCCTTAGTAGCTAGGATTACAGGTGCCTGCCACCGTACCCAGCTAATATTTTAATTTTGTTGTAGAGACAGGGTCTCACTTTGTTGCCTAGGCTGGTCTTGAACTGGCCTCCAGCTGTCCCCCTGCCTTGGCCTCACAAAGTGCTGGGACTACAGGCATGAGCCACTAATTAATAGTAGGTTAAATAGTTATGAATGCTGAATAGTCTGGGCCATTTAGTTTAGGGACAATTTGCTTTGTATCTTGGTTCTTAGATTATAATATAGGATAATAATTTATATATTTCTTATATATTCATAGTATAATTATTTCTTCTTAATTAAATTCATCCTCTAGGCTCGATGCCCATAGCTCAGTGGGTAGGGCACTGGCCACATACATTGGAGCTGGCGGATTTGAATCCAGCCCAGGTCTGCCAAACAACAATGACAGCTACAGCCAAAAAATAGCCGGATGTTGTGGCAGATGCCTATAGTCCCAGCTTCTTGGGAGGGTGAGGCAAGAGAATTGCTTAAGCCCAAGAGTTTGAGGTTGCTGTGAGCTGTGATGCCACAGCACTCTACTGAGGGTGACATAGTGAGACTGTCTCAAAAAAGAAAAAAAAATTCATCCTCTAAAATGTGGTCCCCAAGCCCCAGGCTGTGGACCAATACTGGTCTGTGGCCTGTTAGGAGGAACTGTGCCACACAGACGGAGGTGAGTGGCAGGTGAACTTCATCTGTATTTGTACCTGTTCCCCATTTCTCACATCACAGCCTATGTGTATTTACTGGACAAAG